GTGTGTGTGTGTGTGTGTGTGTGTGTGTGTGTGTGTGTGTGTGTGTGTGTGTGTGTGTGTGTGTGTGTGTGTGTAAGTCACTAACAGGAGAGCGCTTATATAACTTCCCCCCCCCCAAACTGATTAAGCTTTTGATTGTATTGCCTGCCCTATAAGCCTTAGATAATGTGCCTATACTCAAATTGTGACAATCATTTTGACCCAGGAAGGCATTCCAGATGGGGTGTGATACAGGCAAAGGCACAGGGATAGCACCAACGGGATCGTTATCGTGGGAGTTTCAGAGTGAAAGATTTGGGAGTAGTCACTTCTGTAATGTGGAGTTGAGTTGTAAATGAACAGGTATTCTGAATCTTTTCTTTTTTTCTTAGTATTGGATGAACGAATATACCTCATCCATTGGAATTGGAGTTTTTCATTCAGGAATTGAAGTATATGGCAGAGGTATGTGTACACAGTCTAAATATACTTTCTGAAGATTTTCTGCTTTAAAGGAGTTGCAAAATCATAACTATAGTGCTTTCTCTTTTTTTAACCACTTCCATATGTTATTCCAAAAAGTAGAAGAAAATCTCCCCATATTCATTTATACTGCGTTTTGGAAAAATGCCCAAAGTAGAATGTATTTGGGGAGAAAGTACTCAAAATACAAGAGTATACATTCACTTCATTCACTTTGTTTTATTCTAAATACTATGTTTTTAAAAATATTTTCCTTTTGTGATTGTCATACAATGACAATTTGTTTTGCGCTCATATATATTGGAGCTCCTAAGAAACATTGCACTTCGAAAATAGCATGATAAAAATAATAATTTTGGTTGGAAAGGTTGGTACTAGAGAGTGTCAGATTTGAAATACCAGTTTCCTAAGGGAATTTCATTAGTAAATTTGGTTTGTAGACCTATAGGTCTATAAAGTCTGTAAGTTTATAAAGTCTAAAAACATTGCTGAGCAAATCCTGCCATTGAATACATCTAATCGTGCCCTTTGTCATTAACTCAGCCCTCTTCATTCTCTTCGTTGTCCTTTATTAGGATAAACATGTCAGGAGTCCCTCAAACCAAGCAGCTGTGTTTTCAACAGTTTTTTTCTCCTTTGTTCCAATTCCTACTCTTGATGCAAGATAATCTACTCCTGATCAAGTTGTAACTATCAGTAATGGTCTGCCTAAGACAGATCACATTGCTGATTTAATTTAATCTATTATTTTGAATCAGACTCACCCTATAGCAGAAATGCCTTTGTTCACTTCAGCTAGGCAATCTTTGTGACCTCTTAGAGTCTATTATTGCAATTTACTCAGGGTTACCTCAGGACACTATACACCAATTTTAGCCAATAGAAAGAAAAGACATTTACTTAAATGTGTCAGTATGGTGGTCATACTGTTTTTTTATATTCCATTTTACCTGCTTCCAGGTGCAGTTCAGCATATTAAATGTGGGCTATAAAAACATCTGCCATTTAAGCTCTATTTCACATCTACCAAATAATCCCAAGAAACACTGAGGGGCTCTCGCTGAAAGTTTCATGATTGGGAGGTATTGCTATGGGTGGGATCATAGTCTATGGGGTTACTCTTTTGGTTGATTTAGCTTTTGCCAAACTTGCATGTGTATTTCATGAATTTGTATGCTGGCCATTTTTGAAGTGCCATCAGGTTTTGAACCACATGGCCATGCTGTGTTAGATAAAGGCATGTGGCATCTCCATTTTCCAGCTGAAAAAGCTGAGGCCTGAACCTGCTGAAAGTCATAATGCTAATAATTAACTAGGACTTGAACCCAAATGTTCTTGTATGCTAGTTCATTGCTCTATTGTCTGCCTAATCATTGCTTCCCTTCATAAAATGATTTAGTAATAATTAGAAACATGTTTCAAAACATCTTCATGTAAATTTAGCAAAGCTGGAGTCAAACATTAATATATTCCTGAAAATTAGGGATTGCTTTTTAAATAAATGGGTCTGTGACTTTGCTTACTATAATTGAGAAAGTTAAGAATCCAAATATAATCTTACCCTTTCCAACCTGAGTATCTACAATATTTTGTAAAATTTTGTCATTAAAAAACTTTTAAAATTATATTTCAAAATAACCACTTTATTTCTCAAACTACACTGTTGCTTTTTTCAGACAGGTCTGTATTAAAAGTAAACTTAGTATCTGCCTGTTCTTTCCTATGCTTTGTTCCAAGACCTTTTAAGGTTATATTTTTTAAGTGATGAGGTTGATTTAAACATGTGTTTGGAATTCTTTAAGTGTGATATCAGAAAATTATAGGAACTTTTGGTCTAAAATTATTCTCCATTTTGTTCTCCAGAGTTTGTATCTGATGAGTTGCGTGTACAGTCAAAATAGTTTCTCCTAGCTAAAAGACTTGCTTGTGGAGATTGTGGATGGGAGGGTGGATAGGTATGTGTGTTAATTTAGCAGTTTATTTTTTTTCTTAAATGAGGAGAATTGAGTAGTGTTTTAGGTTTGGTAATATTCCTTCCTACTCAAAGGTAAACCAAGAGTCTCTATCCCAGAAGCCATGAAACTCAATGTTACTGGTTTCTCCAGTAAGGTATGCGTTTGAAATTAGATCACTGTAATTTAGACAGCTGCAAAACACTGAACTGACCACCTCCCTAGATTGGCATGGTATAGATATGCAGAGAACTGTATTTACCTTTGCATGTTAGTCACTCTCTGTTTGCCATTATTAGAAAGGTAAATATGGCAGTCAAAAATACTTTTGAGTGTCTTGTTATTTGAGCTTTGGGTCTTTTGTGATAACTGTTTATACAAATAATAGCTAGGTGAGATATTTGTGAAAGCATTTTATAAACAAAAATATTTTGATGGTATCACTGTTACCCTCAGTAATTACAGCTAATTGCAGCATTCTGGTTAAATTTTATGTGATAAATACTAAAAATTACGAGTTTTCTCTTTGCAGAATTTGCTTATGGTGGCCATCCTTACCCCTTTTCTGGAATATTTGAAATTTCCCCAGGAAATGCTTCTGAACTAGGAGAAACATTTAAATTTAAGTAAGTAGGGAGGATAATTTTTATTAAACTCACTGTCTAGGTGCCATAGCTTGTTTTCAGGTATACAGAATTCATTCTATAAATCAAAACAAACCCAAGAAGTTAAAAGAGTCTCTTTAACTTTGTTTTAATTGCTGACATTTTATATAACTCAGGTTTGCCTTAGGAAACTTTTTTTTTTTTTTTTTTTTTGAATTGGATTCTTGCTCTATTTCCCAGGCTGGAGTGCAGTGGCATGATCTCAGCTCATTGCAGCCTTCACCTCCCAGGTTCAAGCGATTCTCTTGCCTCAGCCTCCCAAGTAGCTGGGATTACAGGCATGTGCCACGATGCCTGGCTAATTTTTGTATTTTTAGTACAGACAGAGTTTCACCATTTGACCAGGCTGGTCTTGAACTCCTGACCTCAGATGATCTGCCTGCCTGAGCCTCCCAAATTGCTGGCATTACAGGTGTAAGCCACTGTGCCCGGCCCGGGAAAACTCCTTTCTAATGATTTCTTCCCCTCAGTCTCCTGTTTGAAAGAAGAAAAGGTTTGTTACCTATCTTGCACATTAAAAATGTCGTTATTGTCCCAAAGGGATACTTTAGCCTAGAATCCATTGTTGAGGTACATTGTATTACATGAAATGATAAACCTAAAATATATGGATATAAGTGTTCACTGGAGTCTTATGAATAATAAAAAGCAGTGATACTTTAAATGTTAATCATTCCTTAATTGCAGTTTGTATTTAAAGTGATATTTTGAATATTAGTTTCAAGGAGCTTTAAACTTCTGAGCCTATAATAGATGGCTTGCCAAGTGAAAAACAGTGAAATGAGGTTGTAACATTCAACTTCAGTAGAGAGCTACACAGGAAGCCCTCTAAGTTTATAGTTCTCTGAGCCTATCAGTTAATTGAAAGATGTACACCCATAAGTGCCATGATTCTACCCTGAATCCACTCCTTTGGGCTCTCTTTTGGCGAGACTACTTGATAAAAGGATTTTCTAAGTATTTTCAGCTTTCTTGGATGCTTAACTTTTATCTGACTAAAACTCCACTTTCTCCTGAATAATGTCTGTCGTCTTTCCAATGTAGTAGTTTGGGAGTCATTCTTTTTATTTTTGTTTATTTTGAGATGGAGTCTCACTCTGTCACGCTGGCTGGAGTGCAATGGTGTGATCTTGGCTCACTGCAACCTCTGCCTCCTGGGTTGAAGCAGTTCTCCCGCCTCAGCCTCCCGCGTAGCTGGGATTACAGGCACCCGCCATCATGCCTGAGTAATTTTTGTAGCGATGGGGTTTCACCATGTTAGCCAGGCTGGTCTTGAACTCCTGAACTCAGGTGATCTGCCCACCTCAGCCTCCCAAAGGAGGAATTCGCCACCTGGAATTACAGGTGTGAGCCACCACACCCTGGCAGCGTCCTTCTTTTTAAAAAATGTTTAGTCAGTTTGTCTCATGAAGCACAGTGACAGATTAAAGTTTGTTTCTACGTGAGATCATGGCCAGTCCTTTAATAGCAAGTAAAAGTATGCAGGAATATTTGCAGCATGGATCCAGTTCTCTAATAATATAGTACTAATGCAATAGTTGTGAAAATAATTACATTTTACATAATGACATTGTTTCATAAAGAAAATGACTTGTGCTTTTGTGGTATTCATAGTGTACTTAAGAATACTGCAGAAAAATAGAAACTAAAATAATTGAGACTTTCAAAGTATCTTGTTTCATTTTTGTTCTTACTATATTAACCCTGAGTTATATCAATTGTAATATTCCTGGAAATTCCTGGAAATAATAAGTATTTAAACATGCTTTTTGTAAATATTTGACACAACTATGTCCTTATTTTTCTTTTTTCTTTTTGTTCTTTAAGAGAAGCTGTTGTTTTAGGGAGCACGGACTTCCTAGAAGATGATATAGAAAAAATTGTAGAAGAACTGGGAAAAGAATACAAAGGCAATGCTTATCATTTAATGCATAAAAACTGCAATCATTTTTCTTCAGCTTTATCAGAGGTAAACTACATTTTATCCTAAAATTTCTTCAAATAAATATTTGCTATCCCATTATTGTTGATATCCCACGCTATATTCTATATTAATTCATTTCTTTTTTCTGATTTTTTGTGTTGTATGAAATATGGCATTGTGTTTCCATCTCTTGTATGAATGACCTTTCCAGAGTTGGTAAGTTGAATCTGCACAGTTTTAGATGGTAATTCTATTCATTACTTTGCAGTTGGTAGCGAGTGAGTACAAATAATGGTCCCTTTTATTCTAACTTATTTTATTACAACCTGAAACTTTAACTTTAAAAAAATAAATGCTTAGAGACTTCTGCTTCTTAGCCGTTTGCTGAATTTTAGTTCTCAACCTGAATTTTTTTTCTGGCTCTTATAAGTAATTCATCTCTTCCATCTTGAGATTTTATTCTGCTAACATATCACATAGGCACTTACTTGCCTTCTCAATTCATGAATCTCAAGTAGGAGATCAAAACGAGATCAGAATTAAAGAACCATAAAAAGAAAATGGAGGAAAGATATTAAGAAGATTGTAAAATAAGGTCTAGAGAATTAAATAGCTCTTGAAACAGCTTCCCAGCTTTCTGATTCTTAGCAGATGGTTGCAGCGGCAGCATCTAGGTACCACAGAAATTGTGAAGAGTGTAAAGGAGAAAACGAGCTGCTATTTCAGTGACCTCCTCTGCAGAATTGCTTAGTTCTTGGCCCTTCTTACTTCCCTCATGGCTTCTACAATACAGGTTTCAAACAAGACTCTCACAGTCTGCTATCATGCTACTCAAAGTGTATTTCATGGACCAGCAGCATTAGCATCTCCAAGATATGTATTGTTTCTGCCCCACCAGAGAGATACTGAATGCACATCTTCATTTTAACAAGATCCCAGATGACTCCTATGACCATAAAAAGTTGAGAAACACCTCTAGTCTAGTGGATGCATCAGTACCATAAAAGCGACCTAGTCCATTTTCAGGCAAGGGGGAAGGTAGGTCTGAGCTTTCTTGATCCCAGACATTGCATTTGTATAGAACGCATTCAAAGATCCATTGAGTGCTAAAATTGGTAAAGAAATAGCATCTTAATCCACTCTTAATTTTCAGATAAGGAAACAGATCCCAATTGGGAAAATAACTTATCAAAGATTATCGTGGAGAATTCAGTTTAGACCTGACTTCTTAATAGTCCAGTGCTTATTATACTTTATCATTACTTCCTCTGGTACTAATTTATTCTGTCCTTCAAAAACATTAATAACTTTATTGAGCATCTATACCACCATGTCAGCCCTGGTCTAACCACAAAACCATTCTGCATTTGGGGTCCAAAGAGCAATTCTAGATGTCCTTGGAGCCATCTTTTTAGGCCACAGTTTTTGTGCCTTTCCCCATATGAGTGCTGAATTGTTAAATTGTGAGACACAGAAGTTAAGTGTCTTGGCCGAGGTTACCCAGCCTGTTAGTGGCAGTGCTGGAAGTGGAATTCTGGATAGTGAGGGATACGGAGCTAGTTTAGTAAAATACAGCACACATTCCATGAAATGAAATAGCAGTTGAGCTCTTGCCTATTGTGAAATGTAAAAGTTACCTATGGAATTTGAAATGATAGATGCAACTCCCATATGATGAAGGCAAACAGATTAGTATTAGGCACTCTAATGAAGTTTAGCGAAACTGATGTGCTTTTACATCTTTGACAACATAGTGTAGGGCTATATGTTATATAACCGGTTGTAAATAAGCAAAACCATCACTAATTCCATTAATAATTGATTGTTGATATGTGTACTCTTCTGTTAATATTCTTAAAAATTCTAAGAATTACCATTTAACACAATAATGTTATCAGTTCAGATGCTTCCTCTATAGCAGGGATTAGCAAAATATTACAGCCTGGCCTTTAAACCAACACCAGCGTGTCATCTGTCCTTGTACAGCCCACAAGCTCAGATGGTTTTTTTCATTCTTTTTTAAGGATTAAAAAAAAGCCAAAAGAGGACTATATGGTGACATGTTCAAATTATGTAAAGTTCAAATTTCAGTATTCATAGTTAAAAAAAAAATTATACATTTATTGCCTGAGTAATGGTTGGAATTCATAAGATGAACTGGATGCCGCAACAGCTGCCCTCTTGGGCTGAGGTGTTGTTCCTTCACAGAATCCATGCCTGAGTCTGCGGTATACAGTCTTGAGGTGCCTCATGTGACCAGTCCCGGGGGTATTTCGTCTTTCAGCCTCGGCACTCCAGTTATGCTTTCTCTTGCATTTGGCGGGTTGGCCACATTTGCCACAGGTCCACTGCTGAAGGTGGTAGGCCTCAGAGCCACAGCGGTGGCACAGTGTGTGCGTCTTACTGCAACGCTTTCCAAATGATGACTTTCCCTTGTCATCTTTCTTCTGTGGCCGAGACCAGAGAGATTCATAAAGTTTTATTGGAACACAGCTTTGCTTATTTACCTGTTTTCTTGACTGCTTTCCGGCTGCAGTGGCAGAGTTGAGTAGTTGCAGCAAAGAACTTATGGACTGCAAAGCCCAAAACATTTTTGACCCATAACAGAAAAGTTTGCCACTTCTGCTCTACAAGATAGGTCCATTCGAATTGGGTGCTAATTGGCTTAAACGTTGGGGAAACGTTATCTTATAAAACAAGTCCAGAATTTAAGGCAGGCTCCATTCCAATTTGGTCATGTCTCAACTGTGAGTGTCATAGGGATGTAAGGTCTTTTTTCATTGCTCTAAGTTGCCCTCTTTGGGATGTTGGCTCAACCCCCAGGCCAGCTCCCTGTATGGTTTTCAGATAGCTGTTAACGGTTTTAGAACAACATCCAGAGGAAGAGTTTGTCTTTCTTCCTTTGGTTCTCTTTCAGAAACAGTGAAACTCTTTCTCAGAACCCCCTTTTCCCTACCCTTCCAAAAGCAGCCATGTTTTACAGCCAGAATTGTGTCAAATGCCTAATTGTAAGCCAGTCACTAGCAAAAGGACTGGCATTACCATTACTAATGCCACTCATCTAATCTAAATGTCTTTTAAAAGTTAATATTTTCAGTAGAAAACATAAGAGGAGAGAGACTAATATACTGAGTCCCTATATAACTGTCACTTAGATACCACCCCAGCCCCAAATTGTTTTGAAATAAATCCCAGATTTCATCTAGACACAGGGCCTTGCTGTTGCCCAGGCTGGAGTGCATAGTTCACTGCAGCTTGGAACTCAGGCTCAAGTGATCCTTCCGCCTCCGCCTCACAAGTAGCTGGAGCTGCAGGCACACGCCACTATGTACAGCTGATTTTTGTATCTTTGTGAAGGTGGGATTGCATTGTATTGCCCAGGCTGGTCTGGAACTCGTAGACTAAAGCAACCCTCTTGCCTCAGCCTCCCAAAGTCCTGGGATTACCTGCATGAACCACCACACCCGGCCTAATTTCAATTATATTTCACTCTAAAAGATAAAGATTCTTTTTAACATAACCACAATATATCACTCCTAAACAAATTAACATGATTTCTTATCCAAATGTACAATGTTCAGATTTCCCCAATTGTATTTTTTTTTTTTTTTGAGACAGAGTCTTGCTCCATCGCCTAGTGCCAGGCTGGAGTGCAATGGCGCGATCTCAGCTCACTGCAACCTCCACCTCCTGGGTTCAGGCAATTCTCCTGCCTCAGCCTCCTGAGTAGCTGGGACTACAAGTGCGCGGCACCACACCTAGCTAATTTTTGTATTTTTTTTAGTAGAGACAGGGTTTCGCCATGTTGGCCAGGATGGTCTTGATCTCTTGACCTCATGATCCGCCTGCCTCGGCCTTCCAAAGTCCTGGGATTACAGGCGTGAGCCACTGTGCCTGGCCCATTGGCTTAATTTTTTAACAGTTAGTTTGAATCCAAATCTAAACAAAATTCATACAGCTGGTCACCCTGAGTTACATTTCCCCATAGAAAAGGCAGGATAGCTGGGCACCGTGGCTCATGTCTATTAATCCCAGCACTTTGGGATTATAGGCTGAGGTAGGTCGGTCACTTGAGCACACAAGTTCAAGACCAGCTTGGGCAACATGGCAAAACCCTTTCTCTACAAAAAAAATACCAAAATTGCCCAGGTGTGGCAGTGCGCACCTATAGTCGCAGCTACTCAGGAGAGACTGAGATGGGAGAATGGCTTGAGCCCAGAAGGCAGAGGTTGCAGTAAACCAAGATGGCACCACTCAATTCCAGCCTAGGTGGACAGGGCAAGATAGATGCTTTTTTTCCCCTCTTTACTTGTTTTCAAAAAACAAGTTGGTTCCTATACAGAAGAGTTAACTATCATCATAGGCCTAAAACTGCTGTCCTTAGAAAGGCCTGCCCACAGGATTGGCCCTAAGCTGGCATCTGGGAACTTGGGCTTCTCTAAGGTTCTCACCATTCCTACAATGGATAAGAGTGGCTCCCTTTGCCTAACCTGTTTGTACAACTAATTTGGTTTATGCTAAAAACCTGCTTTCCCTCTGGGACTCTGGGATTTTGGCAGAGGACACCTGCATGACCAGCCCCCAATAAAAGTCTTGGGTACTGAATCTGTAATGAACTTCCCTGGCAGATATTTCACATGTGTTGTCACACCTCATTGCTAGGGGAATTAAGCATGCACATCCTACCTGACTCTGCTAGGAGAAGATCCTTCAAGCTTGTGCCTGGTTTCCTCCAGATTTTGCCCCATGTCTATTTTCCCTTTGCTGATTTTGTTTTATATCTTTTTGTTGTAGTAAGTCATAGTCATGAGCATGCTATGCTGATTTCTGAGTCCTAGCAAATCACCAAGCCTGGGGGTGGTTGTGGAGACCTTTTACTCACAGAAATATAACAAAAGGACTGGCCGGGCATGTTGGCTCACACCTGTAATCCCAGCACTTTGGGAGGCTGAGTTATGCATGATATGGAATAGCAGCTGAGCTGTTGCCTATTATGAAAGGTAAAAGTTACCTGTTGAATTTGAAATGATAGATTCAACTCCAGG